CTGTAGAAATGCCATTTTTTACAACTCTGTTCCAGCTCTGCCAGGCAAAACTTCCTCCTCCTCCTCTCCCCTGCAGAGGTGCTGCCCTGCCAAGGAGTGCCCTTCCTCCTTGGGCACCTGCACGTGGGATTTATAGCTGAGAGGCACAACCCCAGAGTAGGCAGCTGTGTCTGTTCTCAGGTATTTCACCCCAAAGAGGAAGAATAAAAATGACTCTTTTTAATTTGAGGTAGTGAATGTGCTACTTGCTTCTCTCCCTTGTAAAGTACTGACATTGTATTAATGTGACTGTTAAGATAATCATGTTTTTTGATGAAAGCATAAGACTGAAATGATGTTTCCAAATGAAGGTTGTTTTGATTTATTCCCTGTATGCTGTGAGCATAATTTTGCTTCCCTAACTCTTTGAAGCTTTAATTTTACAGCGTTGGCTGTTGCTACTGCTGTGCTGTGCTGTACCTATGAACTATTTAATGTGCCACATCGAGGAGTAAATGAATGCAGGTCCACAAAGAGAGTGCTTCGATTTGCTAATTGCTTGTAGAGCAGAGGGTATTGTTGTGTGGAGAAAGACTGTTCATTAGAGATTGAGTAGTTAATTTTTCCCTCCAAATGAGGCTCACAGTTGAGCTGTTTGCCTGTATCGGGCAGGGCAGTCAGCTCACGTTCAGCCCCCGGAGAGGAGTTGGGGGCTGTTGATGCAGTCTGTTTAACAGCTGCATTGTCACCACCAGATTGCTTCAGTTCATTCATTAAAGCCTCCCCAAGCAGCCTCCTCCAGCGCTGTCAGCGAAGGGCTGACTTTTGGAAGGGAGAGAAGACAAATTATTGATGCAGGGAAGCAGGCTAAACAATTCAGAAATGTCTCCTTGGAGCTGAATCGGTTCCTCTCCTTGGAAACCATAAAACGTGCAGTATCCCAGTGAGGCCAGAGCACAGGTTCTTCCCTTCCTGCTGCTCTCTTTTGAGGATGACAATCCATTGACAGTAGATTAGACTGTGTTGTCATGTAAGATGAATATTTTGAACTGACAAACCCTTTTTTTCAAAGCTTAAAGTAATTGACTGAATACTTGAGAGGATTTATTTCCCCTGCTTTGCTACTTGATTTTCTTTTACCTGGTTGGTGCTGCCTTCAGTGGGTAAATTGGACTTTACATGTGTTTGTATATCTGATTCCTAATATCTGTTTGCTTATCAGATTTCTTAATGCTTGAGCTCAGTGATCTGTGGGAATTTAACATGTGTATTAAGTAAAGAGAATTTCCTTGGAGCTTTAAGTTAACTTTTATGCATAGCCTGAAAATTCAACACATCTATCCTACTGAGAGATTCCTGAGATACTAAGGTGGATGTTATCAATTAAAAAGCATCTGACACAGAGCTGAGCTACATATAGAAACATGGAGTGGTTTGGGTTGGAAAGGACCTTAATTATCATCTTGTTCCGACCCCTCTGCTTTGGGCAGGGACACCTTCCCTTGTCCAGGTTACTCCATCCATCCTGGCCTTGAACACTTCCAGGGATGGGGCAGCCACAGCTTCTCTTAGCAGTGTCTTTCAGTGCCTCACTCACCCTCACAGTTAAGAATGTTTTACTACTACCTAATCTAAACCTACTCATTTTCAGCTTGAAGCCATTGCCCCTTGTCCTGTCACTGCATACTCTACAGGTAGGACGTGGCTTTTTCCAGTGTGGAACTCAGATGGGACTGGCAAACTGCTCCAGCATCTGCTGGACCCTCCTGTGCCTGCTGGTGCTGGGGCACCATCTCCTTCCTACCCACCCTGGATGGCTCAGGTCCACTGCTCACCTTTTCATTGTCTGGAAGTGGCCAGAGGTGACTGAACTGAGAAACCCACAGTTCATTCCTGAAAAGATAAGTCCCAAGAAACAACATAATGCTGTTTCTTTCGGGTCTTTTCCAGCAAATGCCTGAGGGGGCTGGGAGCAGGGGCTGTGCAGGCTGCCAGGCACTGCTCCAGGGCCCTCTGCAGCTCCATCCTTCCCTGCCTGTGGGGTCTGGCAGCTCCTCCAGAGCACTCTGATTAAGCGAGGTGTGGGGATAAGTTCAGAGCCTAATTTCTCCTTCATAATTAAAAATGTGTCCATCTGTCATGCTGCTGGTGATTAGGTTGTATTTTTCTCGTGGCCTAGAAGGAATATGGCAGTGAATCACTTTGCAAGCAGCTGTCCTCTAACAGCTGAGCGAGGTTCAATATTTGATTTAAGCTAATATAAAGTCTGGGGTAGGGCTGATGTTTACAAACTGGACGTGATAAAGCATTCAGATCAGCTGTTCCACCACCCAGTGAGTGCAGACACCAGGGACCCACTGAAAGTTTGGGCTTTGTCTTGTGTTTCCCCTCCTGGACAGGGAGCAGGAGGGTCCTCACTCTGGACTGTGAGTGTATCTGACAGCATCAGCTGTGCTGGAAAAGTCTCCTTCTTTCCAGCTGTGTCATTGTAACAGCTCTCAATGCATTAAATATGTCCCTTTTGCTCTTCTGTGAGAGTTGTAGTCAAACCATATGTTTAAAAATCTTTTAATCTTCATAAATCATTTCTTCCAGCAATCTAGGAAGTTTAGTTGCTGCTCTCTGAATTCCCACTAGTTAGCTGCT